AAGTTTGTGCCACAACTGCTGCAAAATGAACAGAAGCAGCATCTCTTGGAAGTCTGCAGGGAACTTCAACAACAGCTTCAAGAGGATCCTAACTTACTTTCGAAGGTTGTCACTGGTGACGGAAGTTGGGTTTATGGCTATGACCCGGAAAGTAAGCAGCAATCATTGCAATGGAGGAGCCCTTCACCTTGGCCAAAAAAATCTCGACAAGTCAAGAGCAACATTAAGTCCATGTTGATCTGTTTTTTTTTTTATATTGACGGGATTGTTCATAAGGAGTTCATCCTTCCTGGTCAGACAGTCAGTAAAGAGTTCTATCTTGATGTTCTAAGGCATTTGAGGAAGGACGTAAGGAGAAAACGTCTGGAGAAGTGGCACACGAACAACTGGGTACTGCACCATGACAATGCACGACCACATACGGCTTATATTGTGCAGGAATTTTTGGCTAAAAACAAGATAGCTGTTGTTCCCCACCCACCGTACTCACCAGATTTAGCTCCATGTGACTTTTTCTCTTTCCCGAGATGAAAATCAAGTTGAAGGGGCGAAGATTTGATACAGTTGAGGAAATTCAAGTGGAAATGCAGACCGTACTAAACACCCTAACAAAGAAAGACTTCCAGGATGCATTTCAAAAGTGGCAGAAATGCTGGGATCGGCGTATGCACTCCCAAGGGGACTACTTTGAAGGTGATGGTGCAGAATAAGATTCAGGTAAGACGTAATAGTTTTTATTAATATATTTCAGGAAGTTTTGGATTGCACCACATAGATTCCAATTGAGACTAAGAGGAAGGATGGGACTACCCAGCGGCTGAGGAAAGGGGTCATTGTGAGGGATGATACCAGTGAGAACGAGCTCTGGGAAGGCAGAGATAGATTGAAAGTTTTGGTGTCAAGGCAACCCACATGAAGCATAAGCACTGAGAGAAAAAGAACATGCTTCTCTTCTGGAGAGTTTAGCACAAGAAACGTCAGGATCACAGAGGAACACAGAATCCAAAAGTAAACTTAAAAAGAGTGTGCATTTACTGCATTGGATTGTATGTTTCCAAGCTTCCTAATTTTGCAGGATGTGAATTATCCTGTTAGAGAGTTAGGCAGGGGCTCCCCTGTGTATCATGTCCATCCTTTGAAGTTCATTTCGGAGGCATGGGAGGCGTTTTATGATGCTGTTGGTAGGCTACACCTGTCTTAAGGATTTAGAAGGAAGTGGTCATTGATTAATTTGAGGTAGTATCTTGGCATGTGGCTGACAGGACTGAAGAAAACCAGAAAAATCTTAGTATACTTAGGGTCCCAGCAAAGATTCAAACGAAGAACTTCCTGAATACAAGGCTAGAGCTGTGTCAGTTTGCCCAGTCTTTAAGAAGTAAGATTTGTTAAATTTGGTAGTGCTAAAAATAGTAGCTTCATTGTGCCATTTTCATTACATAATTTGATTCTGGGTATGTTGTGATTGTGTTTACCTAGGCATGGATTCCAATTGGTGGGTTATCAAGCCTGACTTCCGGCTGCCGACAGAGGAAGAGATCCGTGCCATGGTTTCCCCAGAGCAGTGCTGTGCATACTTCAGTATGATTGCTGCTGAACAGAGGCTTAAAGTAAGTTGTATGTCTACGATTTTTCTGATCTGCAGGCTGTGTGTGTGCTACAGTCCCACAGATTTTTGACCGCTGACAGGGATGTTGGTCTAATTGGAATATTTGCATACCTCCACTCATGTCTCTTGTCTTTGTAGACAACAAACTCTTCTAGTATCCTCCAATTTATTACACTAATCTGATATATTACAAGTTTTCTTTAAAATCAGTAGTTGAGGCACTATGCTACAAGTTGGAAGGTCGCGGGTTCAAGTCCCGATGAGGTCATTGGATTTTTTTCAATTGACCTAATCCTTCCAGCCGCATTATGGCCCTGGGGTCGTCTCAGCCTCTAACAGAAATGAGTACCAGGAATTTATTAAATAATTTTCCTGGGGAGTAAAGTGTGGCCGGCGCGTAAGGCTGACAACCTTACTGCCATCTTTGAGCCGATTGTATAGATAATGTGGGACCCTCAACGTCTCAGAACGCTATGGGCCTTCACGGCCTGTTACAGGGATAGCTTTATTTTTTACTCTTTACTTTTATCCCCAATAGATGAGACAAATTTATTAAAATATAGATCACCGTTTTCTTACCTGGCATAATCTTGATTTGTTTAATTTTTTTTTTAAAGTGTAATCAACAAGGAGCTTAGATATCCTGACAATAAAATAAACAATATAGGAAATTTATCAACAGCATAACAGTTCAGTCACATTCTATCTGTTATTGCCTCCAGGTTTTCAATTTGTCTTTATGTAAAGTACCCCTTTTATTGTAAGATTTGAGGTTTTCATGGCGGTGACTATGAAGAAAGCCGTATTCTGCTATATGGCACTGTGCAGAAATTGTGTTAACCGACGTTCCTCCCAAACGTCGGTTATACAATTTCTACACAGCGCCACATCCCAGAAGACAGCTTTCTTCATACCCCTTTTATTGCTCCAGTCTTTATGAAATTAGACATAATTCAGCAATTTTGTTGTGCAGGGAGCTCCAGTATAAAATTTGATGAAAATGAAATCACTGGAGTTCAAGTTATAAGATGAGAGAGCATAAAATCCCCTTTGTTTTTGTGGGCATAGTATGTTGCATGTGCAAGAAATTTCTCTCTCAATACATCTTATGTCCTGAATTCCATGATAATTTACATAACCACAACAGTTTCAGTGGGCTTTGTGCTACTCATTAGATAATCCAAAAAATCAGTCATTCAGGCCCTCTAAGTGAATTTATTGTTTTAGGATGCTGGCTATGGAGAGAAGTTTCTGTTTACCCCTCAAGAAGATGATGATGAGGAAATGCAACTGAAGATGGATGATGAAGTGAAGGTTGCTCCTTGGAACACAACCCGGGCCTACATTCAGGCAATAAAGGGGAAGTGCCTCTTGCAGCTCACAGGACCTGCGGACCCCACGGGCTGTGGAGAAGGCTTCTCTTATGTCAGGGTCCCCAACAAACCAACGGTACAGTCCAAGTGACCAACGAATAAATTAAGCTGTATCATTTGGATTTAGGGGAATGAAATGCCCTCCTGTTATGCTGCTACTGTGGGGATATATGATAGATCATATCCCAGCTCATATACATAGGCGAGTCAAATGAAAACCTTAAATATTTTTTTGAGTATTATTTATTGTGCACAAGTGGTACAAAGCTGTATCACTTTTCAACATAATCTCCCCCACGCTCAATGCGAGTCCTCCAGCGCTTACAAAATGCATGAATTCCTTTGGAAAAAAATTCTTTTGATAGTCTGTGCAACCACTCATGCACCATGTGGCATACCTCTTCATAAGAACGGAACATCTTTCCTCCCATTGCTTCTTTGAGTGGTCCAAACATACGGAAATCACTTGGGGCAAGGTCTGGTGAGTATGCCGGATGAGGAAGACACTCAAAATGCAGGTCATTGATTGTTGCAACTGTTGTACGGGCAGTATGGGGCCTTGCAATGTCATGTTGCAAAAGGATACTTGTGGACAGCAATCCACGTCGCTTTGACTTGATTGCAGGCCGAAGATGATTTTTTAGGAGATCTGAATATGATACACTGGTGACAGTGGTCCCTCTAGGCGTGTAGTGCTCCAAGATTACGCCTTTTTCGTCCCAAAAGAGAGTCAGCATAACCTTCCCTGCTGATGGTTGTGTTCGAAACTTTTTCAGTTTTTGAGATGAGGAATGGCGCCATTCCTTGCTCGCTCTCTTTGTTTCCGGTTGGTGGAAGTGAATCCAGGTTTCATCCCCAGTAACGATTCTTGCAAGGAAGTCATCACCTTCTTGTTCAAAGCCCCGCAGAAGTTCTTCACAAGCATCAATACGTCGGTCTTTCAATTCAGGAATCAGCTGCCATGGCACCCATCTTGCAGACACTATGTGAAACTGGAGCACATCGTGCACAATGTGGTGTGCTGAACCATGACTAATGTTTAAACTTGCTGCAATTTCATTCAGTGTCACTCGGCGGTTTTCCCTCACTATGGCTTCAACTGCTGCAGTGTTCTCTGGAGTCACAACTTGATGTGCCTGACCCGGATGAGGAGCATCTTCCACTGAAATCACACCATTTGCAAACTTCCTACTCCATTCGTACACTTGCTGCTGTGACAGACATGCATCACCATACTGAAACTTCATTCTTCGATAAAATTCAATAGGTTTCACACCTTCACTACACAAAAACCGAATAACAGAACGCTGTTCTTCCCTGGTGCAAGTCTCAAGTGGGGCAGCCATCTTATACTGGTGCTCTGATGGTGTTCGTGCATCTGCACTATGCTGCAACCTACAGGCCATTCTGCATGCTGTTTGTAGCACGCTTACCAACTTACAGGATAATGGTGCGAAATTTTGATTTTTTATTACAAATTTAAGGTTTTCATTTGACTTACCCTTGTAATATTGTGATGTATAGATAAAAAAGGTTAACCTTCATGAAAACTGGATCTCATATGCCTTTCTGTCATTCAAATTGTGTATGATTTGAAATTCCTCATGTTGAATGACAGAAGTGGTCTGTATTAATTTAATTGTTTTGCTAGCATTGTGTAGGGCCTGCGTACATGCCATTGGCCCTGCAAACCTGGAAAGAGCCACTTGTGATGGGAAATCATGACATAATTCAATTGCTACAATTGTGTGATCTTGCACAGTGTCATTCCTTCATAAAACTGACCTTCACATTGTCTCTTTTACTGTTGATGGGGAGTACAAAGGTGTGGGTGTTGTTCCCATTTCTACAACAAAATGAATACATTTCATTTGGATTTGAAGTTCTCACAGCAATGATTATGAAGAGTTCTGTCTTCTGCGATACAATGCCATGTAGTCTGGTAGGAGGTGATCTGCATTTTATAGGAACATATTGCCTCTATCTTCAGCATGGAAGAACCAACAAGTAGCAGACAGCTAGCAGTGCTTTGCTTGTTACCCACTTCTTATTTGCATTTTGCTTTGTTTACTCTTGGGCCCTGAAGATGGAGGCAGAATGTTCCTCCAAAATGTTGGTACTCTTTTACTGGAATACGCCATGTCTCATCCCACAGTGGTAGTCTTCAAATTTCCTTTTTATAACTACACTGATTAGACAACTAGGATTCCTACAGTTTTGTGTCAAGTTCTTATTTCATTACCCATGTTACTAGAAACTGTACTGAACTTATATAAACTGCAAACATGCCAGGCACACACATCACATGTCTCTCAGACATTGGCTGGCTTATTCCAAAGAACACGTCCACTTCCAAGACTTTGCTTTTTAAGCTGTGTAGCAGAATTTCTTTTACAGTGGAGGGCTGTTAACTCTGTGCTCAGCCCCTAGGCCAAGCTGGCACTTTTTATTTTTGTAGTTTTGTGGTGTATTTAATATGCTTTGAATACTTCACATTACAGAGCATCAGTTAATAGGATGATTAACAAATAGAAAATATGTAGAAGGAAGCGGTCATGACTTAATTTGAGGTACTGTCACAGCATTAGCAAAGAGGGACTGAGAAGAACCATAGAATCTTTAATTAGGATAGCCAGTCCCTTAGGTTGAAATTTGAACATGAAATTTTTTAATACAGCAAACTCTTCTACTGCCTTGATTCTGGAACCTTAGCTTTTTCTTCTCCCTCCTGCCCTTCCGCCGGTTCCATGGTGGTGTAGTGGTTCTGGCAGTAATGTATGGTGTTCTTTATGGATGGGATACATGAGTAGCATGCCAGTGGGGTGCCTGCCTCAGTGTTCATGTGTACTACTTCTAGTGGCCTCTACTCCTTCACCCTGCACAGTCCCCAGACAAATTTTTTTTGATCAGTCCTCATATATTCTGGATGTACAAGTTCTTTTTGTTTTGAATGAAGTGACTCAGTGGAACCTAAACCCATTCTGGTGTGCTGACCTGAACATTTCTTGTGTTGCAGCAAAGCAAAGAAGAGCAGGAGGCCCAACCAAAGAGAACTGTAACAGGAACAGATGCTGACTTGAGGAGGCTGTCACTCAACAATGCTAAGGCTTTACTGAGGAAGTTTGGAGTACCAGAAGAAGAGGTGGGTCTCATACGCTTGAAGTTTCGTTTTTCCACACAGATTGGTCTTGACAAGATGCAGTAATTTGACTTCACACAGAGAAATAGTATTAGATGGAACAATGGGCTTTATTCTTTAGACAGGAGTAACAAGTTTCCCTCTGAGAGAAAGCACACTTACAGTGCAACTGTGAGAGAATAAATATAGCTTGTAATGAGAACTTCATTCTAGCAATAGAAATCATTAGTATATACTGCCAACTTTTTAACACCAAACATAGACCAAGGACTTTTCTTCCAGCATGTTCATCATTCTATTTCAGTGCTTTAGTTTGTAATGTTTGTAATAACTGTGCTTGTACTTTTGCTTCCCAAACTTCGGTCAGTAAGGGTTAATCTACCCTCTGGATCCCTCCCTTTTCCAGCAGAGGAGAAGAATCATTATTACAAATTTTGTAAATTCTTGATACATTCAGGTTGCACTGTATACATTGGGATTACAGTCTTCTAGGCCAGTACCAGTGTTTTCGATGTGTGGAAGAAGTGACTTATGTCTTCTGTCCTGAAAATAGAGGACTGTGGTTCTTCTGAAACATTGGTATCTGTCCACCAGACTGCTTGGTGTCACAACCTAGGAGACCATATCTTCATGACCTCTGCTGTGAGGACCTCAGTACTATGGTCCACAGCAATCACGTTGAGTTTTATGGAGAAGTCAGTGGAGTAGAAATACTTTGTGATTAATTCTAATAAATACATGAATTCCAACAGAGACTTATGTTAAGACAATTGAAATTTAAGTTGCCAAAAGTTTGTGTATAGAAAATGTAAGACGTGATAACACTGGAGTTGCAAAGGTAAAAGGNCTGTGATTAATTCTAATAAATACATGAATTCCAACAGACTTATGTTGAGACAATTGAAATTTAAGTTGCCAAAAGTTTGTGTGTAGAAAATGTAAGACGTGATAACACTGGAGTTGCAAAGGTAAAAGGTAATGCTATCCTTGTAACAGTCTGTAGAGGTGCATAGGTTGTGAGATGTTGAGGCTCTCACATTTTCTAGAGAGTTGGCTCACAGATGATGGTCAGGCAGCGCTGACTGCCCTTTTCCACCTCAGGAAGATTCCTGGTACTCATTTCTGTTAGAGGCTGAGTCAACCCCAGGGCCATAGTGCAGCTGGAAGGATTAGGTCAATTGAAAAATCCAGTGACCTCATCAGGAATCGAACCCATGATCTTCCATCTTGTAGCATAGTGCCTCAACCAACTATGCTACAGCATGCCCCCACACTGGAGTTGCAAAACTTGCATTAATGAATTATGAATTATTTTTGTTTCAAGATCAAGAAGCTGTCTCGTTGGGAAGTCATTGATGTTGTTCGAACGTTATCAACTGAGAAGGCCAAGGCTGGAGAAGAGGGGATGACCAAATTCTCACGGGGGAACAGGTTCTCAATCGCAGAACATCAAGAAAGGTACTTAGTTATCATTTAAGCTAAATAAGTCCATGATACATGGCCTGTTCTGAGCATTCAGTAGTCACATAACTGATCAAGAGATTGTTATTTCACTCAGAAGTTCATTACCGTCATAACAAATACCTGTCGTAAAAGCCTTTCATGAATTATTTCACTGCAGTTGACATCCTGACAAATTATTTTCTATTTATTTTATGTGGTTTGTGAGTAATCTCTTCCTGTGAGGTTTTCAGACCAAAGTGTTGTTTGTCTAGTGCCCCAGATACATTATATTTTAGCCTTTCCAGCTCCTGCCCACCTAGGCAAATGTGTAGAATCTGTTTCTAAGGTGCGGGCACCATAGGACAGATTCTGTTACCCCCAACGATAGATTATGAGATTCATCGTTAGTAGAAGGGACCTACAGCTGGACTCATATGATGGGGGAGGGGTCTGATATTGAAGAAAGCACTCTTCTGGGATTTGGCACCGTGTATATGTGGTGTTAACCGACGTTTCAGAGGAATGTATCGCCTCCATCTCTGCTTTTACCGGTTCTCACGGTCTCTTTGCTTTGCAGATTTCTTATATTTTTTCTTCTACCCTGAAGATGGAGGCGATACGTTCCTCCGAAACGTCGGTTAACACCACATATACACGGTGCCAAATCCCAGAAGACTGCTTTCTTCATAGTCACTGCCATGAAAGCCTCAAATCTTACAGGGTCTGATATTGTTTACATTCTCAAAGATCTATCCTTGGTGGAGGTGAAGGTTTTAGTCTGCATATGGAAACTGCACACAGATATGAGTGAGGATTGAACTTTGAGTCTTCTGAATTACAGTCTAGTGTCTTACCCCAAGACCACCAGACTTATCATAAATTTATATAGTCAAAGAAAGTTGCCAGAATAAATTAACACAGTGGGTATGTCCAGGCAGTACTTATTCAGTACTGAAAGGATTTGTAGAACAAGGAATCTGTGAAATAGGGAATTTGGTTTTGTGAGTTCTGCTCAGATTTCCCTGTTGAAGTTGCTTGCTAGAAAGATATTAATACAGTATGGTAAAATTCAGTTTATATACAACCTCAGGACCTGCAGAGACCTCCAAACTAACTGAAGGCTGATGTATAACTTCAGGTACAAAGAGGAATGCCAACGGATATTTGACCTGCAAAACAGAGTGTTGTCGTCCAATGAGGTGCTGTCCACAGATGAAGGAGAAAGTTCTGATGAAGACAGTTCTGACATAGAAGAAATGGGCAAGAATATTGAAAATATGCTGTCAAATAAGAAGACTAGTACACAGGTTAGTTAACATAACTTGAAGGCATGAGAACATGGACATAAGAAGACCAATAAACAGATTGGCTGCATAGTGTGGAAATACACTGTCAAATAAAAAGATGCAGTACACAGGTTAATAATAACTTGGAATAATTTATATGAAATGTAACTTTCATGTTTTCCTACACCAGATCTAATAGAGCACACTCGGTGATGTACCCTTGGCAGTAAATATGGTAGCCACAGCTGTTAAAGTGAGACACAGGTATTGCAGCAGTTTCTGCACGTGATTTGAATCCACATTCCTAATCTTTTTCAACTGTCTGACTATATATTAATTTTATTAACATGAATGTTATTCCTTCTTTAAAGATTTAGCAGTTTGGCTAGGAAATATACCAGACAAAAGAGTGAATAGTTTTATTCGTTTTTAATATAAAGTGATGTCAAAAATACAGCAAAAATTCACTTGTCTTCATTATAAGTACCAGCCAGTTCAGGCTGTTAGGGAAGTAATCACTGTTTATTGTGTGAATCGTACAGAACACATAAATACAGTTTGTGAGCTAAATGCTAAAGCAGGTGGTGTTATATGGCTACAATTATGCTATAAAGGGTTAAGGAATAAGTTATATCAAAACCACCATTTCATTTTTCTCAGTTTTAGGTTTTCCATCATATAGCATTTAATTTCAATGATCGTAAGTCAATAAATTCGGTCTTATTTAAGATTTTCCTCAATTTAATGTCCAAGGCCACTGGTCCCCCAAAAAAACTGTAAACAGAATATTTTCACTGATGACAACTGCAAAGGTCTGATTCAGAGCAAAAATTACTTCTCTGCGCTTTTGCTGGTTAGTGAAAATGCCACAGAAGTAGGGATCCATCACTTTGCTGTCAGTGTTTAAAGAACATGGTCCAACACTGTATAGGCTCAATACTGACAGCACCATTAAATAACCAGTTAAAGAAAATATGGCATGTTCTTTATGCAGCTGTCACTGGAGAAGGAGGAACAAGAAAGGCAGGAGCTGAGGAAGATGATCATGGGTGAAGGTGGAGATCAGGATCAGAGGAAGGGGAAGGACAAGAAGAAGGAGGATGATGATAACCAGTCCCTGATGGGCTACAGCTCACAGCCTGGTGAGGAGCCCTCACGTTTATGTGCCTCAGTAGAGAGGAAAACATTGCTTGTTGAACTTCATCAAACCAGAGCACAGATTAAAAATTTACTGATCTGAACCCCAACTTTTCCAACAAGATTCACTTAAACCTCTGTTAGATTTGTTGAAAAGACATGGCTCTAGAAGTGAATATGAAGACGTTTCAATGTAAGTTCAATATTACATGATCCTGAACCAGTTCCATCCACCTCCCAGCCTCACAACTTATCTCATTAAGGTAAGGATGAAGTTGTCCATGGTGCTTAAATAACTGTGCCATGGAGATATATTGGCAGCTGGTAGCATAGTTGGTTGAGATACTATGCTGCAATCCAGAAGGTTGCGGGTTTGAGTCCCAATGAGGTCACTGGATTTTTCAGTTGATGTAATCTTTCCAGCCACACTGTGGCCCTGGGGTTTGCTCAGCCTCTAAGAGAAATGAGTGCTAAGAATCTTCCTGGGGGCTAAAGAGCAGTTTGCACGTAAGGCTGACAGCCTCACAACCCTATGGGCCTTCGTGGTCTGTGACAGATAGCTTTATCTTTTTTTTTTACTANCACCATCTGTGAGCCAATTATCTAGAAACTGTGGAAGCCTCGACATCTCAGAACCCTATTGGCCTTCGTGGTCTGTGACAGATAGCTTTATCTTTTTTTTTTACTATGGAAATATATGGGGGAGTGGAGGTATAGCTCCGTATCTTCTTAAACTCAGCATTAGATGGAGCTTCAAAGTCTGGCTGCTTTAACCCAAGGGAAAGACCCCTCAGTACTCACTGGGTGGCTGGCTGGCTGGGTGGCTGCAGAACCTGTCTGGACACTGTGGAAAAGAGAAAAATCTCTTCATCCTACTGACATTTGAACTCTGATGTCATCTTACTGAAAAGCTGGTTGCATTAGATGATAATCAGCCCTACTTTAAACACTGTGCTCAACCAAATTTGTGTTAGTAGAACCTCGTTGGTCAGGGACTGGATATAGTGGCTTCTGGGATATGACGCCATGTAATCTGGCAGAAGTTCACTGTTATTTCAGAGGGACATACTTCTGCCATCAGCTAGGTCAGTGTAGTAAACCATGCAAGTGTTATCACATCCCAGAAGATAGTACCCTACACACCCCTTCCCTTGTTATTCTGAAGCTGTAAAACAGATGCCACATTGTGTGGAAACTCAGTACATTCTTATGTCCTGCAGGCCGAGTGTTGAAAATCTACCGTACATTTCGTAACGCTGAAGGTAAAGAATTTACTCGAGTTGAACTTGTTCGGAAGCCTGCGGTTATTGACACTTACATGAAGATTCGAACCACCAAGGACGAAGCCTTCATCCGGCAATTTGCCACATTGGACGAGCATCAGAAAGAAGAGATGAAGCGTGAGAAGCGTCGCATCCAAGAACAGCTGCGGCGAATCAAGCGTAACCAAGAACGTGAACGTTTGATGGGAATCCGTGCAGCAAATCCCACTAATCCAACAATGGGTACGACCCCTGAAGGATCACTTCTGGCACCAGGTGGTATCACAAGCATTCCGGGCATGCTGCCAAACCCAGTGGCACTTCCTCCTGTCGTGCATCAGCCCCATCATCCACCACACAGTGCCACGCCCAAGAGGAAGAAACCAAAATTGAAGCCGGATCTCAAGCTGAAGTGCGGAGCTTGCGGAAATGTAAGTTTATTTAGTAACATAGTTTAACATGCTTGTGTAACATTCTTTGGAAACTTATGTAAAATTATTAAATACACTAGCACAGAAATGTGTACCCAGGAACAAGTCTCCTCCACGAAATTTTGACTGAACATATTGGATGAGTGGTAAGTGTTCATGCTTTGTATTCTGGAGCCCCTGGATTGAATCTTGACCTGCAGGTCATCCATCCTGACAGAGGATTTTTGTGTTTTGTTTTCTTTCCCTCCACTCCAGGGAAATGGCAGGATAGATGTCCAGTCAGACCGTGATTGCTTCTGTCCACATCCTTTTAAATTTAGTCCAGCTTAGCATTAATTATGTCATTCAGTGGTGTACACTGTGTCATTAAACAGACAAATAGATAATACATGAATTGTAGGTGTGTTCTCAGTGAGAAGTTGCAAAGATGTACTATAGGTTTTTTCCTTGTCTGTCTACCCACATGTAACAAGAAGTGTTGAATAGATTTTCATTAAATTCGATATTGGGGAGTTTTACTAAAGTTTGTTGTTACAAGCCAGTTTTAATTAATATCTGGCACCAATAACAGACGCTTTACATGAAGACCTAAATGTATTCCTTGAGTGTATCTTTACCATCACTCACTAACTATGTACAGGACTGTAAAATATTTTAAACAAAAATTGCAGGCCTAGAGAGGACTGAGACAATTTGCATTCAATACACTTTTCCCACAAGTCTTATGGTTTTTGTGGTAACTGAACGGAAGAGAGTGAATGCACAAATATTGCTGTGATGTTTCTACATGTCTTGATTTATACTACTGAATACTGATTAGGCAGTGATACTTGTTGTTTCAGGTGGGCCACATGCGGACAAATAAGGCCTGTCCCCTATACCAGCCCTCTGCTCCAGCACCCCCTGTTAATGTGGCCATGACGGAGGAACAGGAGGAGGAGATCGAAAAGCAGCTTAATGCCGATGATGAGGACCTTGTCAACGTGGATGGCACCAAAGTTAAACTGTCAGGAAAACTGCTTAAGGTACTGACCAATTCTTTTTTTACAGATAACAGTTAATAGGATCCCTTCCTTTTTATATTTTACTTATATCACTCATATCGGGGGAGCCAGGATAGCACAATCAGTATAGTGACTGTCTACAGGCTGGACGACCAAGGGGTTGGAGTTAGAGTCCCAGTAAGATCAAGAATTTTCTCTTCTCCACATTGCCCAGATTGTCTCTGGGGCCCACCCAATCTCCTACTCAGTGGGTGCTGGGGGCTCTATCCTAGGGAGTAAAGCGGCTGGGGCATGAAGCAAACCTTTCACATCAAACTAATGCCAAAGTCAAGAAAATGTGGATCTATACATCCATTCCCCGATACGCTTTCATGGAATAGTGCTTAATTAGGTAAGCACAGGGACAACTTTACCTTTACTTTTTTTGCCACTCATATCAGAATTGTTTCTTTTAACAACATAACCCACTGTAAAGTAATTAGTGTGTATTACTGGGTTTGTGGACTTTTGTCGTGTAGTATTCTAAACAGAACATGATGTATGGAAATTGGATCTGTTTCTGTCTTCAGGTGAAAAGTACCAAGGCAGCAGCTCAGTAAAAAGCTAATCTCAGTCACTGAATTGGATCCAGAAACACATGAACACTAAAGTAATATACTGTATTATCATTGGAACCATTCAGAATTACATCAGAGAATGTCCAACCTGTCTTCTACTTTCCAACATTCTTTTCCTTGAGTAATCCCCACCCAGGGACTCGTGTATTTAAAGATAGTGAAAATATAAGTCTCTGGTGTAACTCCATAGAACAGAGTTCTTCTTGAGATGCTAATAATTGCTCAACTGCTCAAGGAATTGCCTGCCTTTTATGGAACCTTAAGGTTCAGTACCATGTTTACAGGATCCCACCACTGGTCTCTATCCTGAGCTAGATGAATCCAGTCCAGACCTCCCACCGAATTTTTCCTAGATCAGTTTTAATATTATCCTCTTATCTATGCCTACATATTTCAAGAAGTCACAGGTTTTGTGACTAGAATTTTGTACACACTTTCAATCTCTCCTATGCATGCTGCATGCCCTGCTCTTTGATCTCCCTAATAATATTTGGTGAAAATTACAAAGCATGAAGCTTGTTATTACGTACCTTTCCCAACCTCATGTTTCTTCGTTCCTCCTAGGTTCAAATATTCTTCTCAGCACTCTATGTGATGTTACAGTCAGAAAGTTCATTGACACCAACACAAAATCCTACCATTTTAGATCATTTCATGTCCTCAACTTATTTCTCAAAAAAACATTTTCATTCTTGTCTTTGGCTTAATCTCCCATGTAACCATTTTGTAAGAGGTTCCTAACTAAAATTCTGCAAGCTTATCATATCTTATTCACCCCACTTCATGTCCAGTCCATCATAAAATCTTTAATTAAACTACATGACAGTAGTAGAAGTTTATAAGTTTGCTTTGCAATTTCTCCAACTTTACAACTCTTGGATGTAGATACCTTCTATAACACTTCACATGTGCAATAGATTCTCTGTTATTAATGGTTTTAAAAGGTTATTCTGACATGGATAATTCAGAGCAACTGCAAATAATATGAACTTGAGAATGGCGGCAACGGATTTATCAAAACCGTTGGTGCTTATCTACCAGATTGTGTGGTGTCATAACCTGGAAGACAACCTAAATCTGCACTGCTGTGAAAACCTCAGATCTCAACATAAACTTCACTTTTTAAGTCTCGTTAATAATTACATATTATTTAATTTGATGTTCCCAGCATGCTGAAGAGATGAAGCGCCGAACTTTATTACTGAAAGTGCCAAAAGATGCCGTCAATTCAAGGAAGAAACGCCGTGCTGTTAACGAGATGCACTGCGACTACTTGAAACGCCAGCAGCGACCAGCAAATAGGCGACGCACAGATCCAGTGGTAGAACTTTCAACTATTCTAGAGTCCATACTCAATGAAATGAGGGATCTCCCAGATGTTCAGCCTTTCTTGTTCCCTGTGAACGCCAAGGTACGGTCAAACTTTGTGAGTATAAGTTCCAAGCACTATAAAAACAATTATCATAAGTAGGGTCTGAACAGCTCTTGGTTTACAGTTGTTAAGTTTGCAGATCCTCATGGGAAGACATACAGGCCTCTGGGATATGATTCGATGTAATTTGGTACATATTGTTGCATAGTAACAGCTGCTTCTATGAAACAAGAAGATGCTTTATCACCATTGCTTTTCAACTTTGCTATGCCATTAGGAAGGTCCAGGAAAACCAGGTGGGACTGAAATTAAATGGGACACATCAGCTGCTGGTCTATACTGTTGATGTGAATCTACTAGGAGATAACATAGATACCATAGAGAAAAACACAGAAACTGTAATTGACTCTAGTAAGAAGGTTGGTCTAGAAGTAAATGCAGAGAAGACTGGGTATATATTGCTGTCTCATCAGCAGAATGCAGGGAAAAATCATGACAAAGAGAGCTCACAGATGTGAGAATGTGGCACAGTTTAGATATTTGGGAAAGATAGTTAACAGACTAAAATTAAATTCAGGTGGAACTTGAGCGACTGATTCTGGGTAATGCTTGCTAGCATTCAGTCCAGAACCTTTTGTCTTCATATTTTCAGTGTAAAAATGTAAAAATTAGAATAAGAAAACTATAATTTTGCCTGTGGTTCAGTGTGGGCATGAAACTTGGTCTCTGACATTAAAGGAGGAACATAGACTGAGAATGTTCGAGAACAGAGTACTGAGGGGAATATTTGGATCAAAGAGAGATGAAGTGTGACAGGAGGTTGGAGAAAACTGCATATGAGGAACTTCATAACTTGTGCTCTTTGCCAAGTATAATTAGAATGATCAAGGAGGATTGGATGGGCAGGGCATGTAGCACGAATGAGGGAGAAGGGGAATGCATATAAGATATTGGTGGGAAAGCCAGAAGGAGAGAGACCACTAGGAAGACTAAAACATAGGTTGGTGGATAATATTTAAGTGGATCTGAGGTAGGATGGGGTATTATGGACTGGATTGATCAGGCTCAGGATAGGGACCAATAAAGGACTTTGTGAAATGATTAATTAGAAACTAGGGGCCAAAAATTAGATGATCACAAATACAAGAATATGCTGAACTTCATGGGTGTGATAGCACTGCCAAAATAAAACTGCGGGTTGAAGAACTGTTGAACACACCGGTTTAAATAGGATCTCTGTATGTCAATTTTGAATGTGGCCAGGTTTTGGATCTGAGTGAATTTGGGGATATTGCAGTGGGTATTTGGTACTATGTTAAATTTTGGAAGATGGAATACTATGAAAATTTATGAGATCTGACAGTAAAGTTCGCCAACTCACCACCGTATGCTTGCCATGGCAGCAATGGACAAAAACCTCAGTATGGTTTGATGACATTGACATATCAGTGTTTCACAGATGTGTTGTTAGTCTGTGGCAGTCTCTTTCTGAGTGACATCTATTATTGTCTGATTATGTTCTGGTGTGCTGTCATGAGGATGTTGGAACAAACATTAAATTTCTTGTTAAACTTGGCAAGAGTGGAAGCAATATCAGAGAGATGTTACTGCAAGTTTACAGCGATAATGCTATGAAGAAAACAGCAGTTTACAAGTAGGTGACACATTTTTCTGAAGGAAGAGAAAGTGTCACTGACAGAGAGATCAGGATGGCTAGAAATGAACAGAACTGAAGAAAACGTTGCAAAAGTTTGTCAAATTGTGCGTGAAAATCATCAGCTGACTGTCAGGAGCATAGCAGAGCAAGGGAGCATCAACAGAGAAACAGTTAGGAAAATCTTAACTGAAGATCCTGTCATGAGGAAGGTGTATGCAAAAATGGTCCAATAGGACCTGCTTACATGGAGGTTTTAGCTAGTAATATTCTTGGGGGTAAAGGGCGGCCGGCGCATAGGGCTGACAACCTTGCCGCCATCTATGAGCCGATTGTCTAGAAAATGTGGGAACCTCAACATCTCTCAACCCTATGGGCCTCCATGGCCTGTTACAGGGATACCTTTACTTACTTTTTACAAATAACTGTGCTGGAACACCCTCCCTGTTCACTGGCTCTAGCTCCCAATTACTTTTTTCTGTTCCAAAAGAGAAAGGAAATATTGAAAGGAAGGCATTTTGATGAAATTTATGACATCAGGAGTAATATGATGGCAGCTCTGAAGGCCATTCCAGAAAACCAGTTCCAAAATTGTTTTGAAGGATGAACTAGGTGCTGGCATCAGTGCATAGCTTCCCAAGGGGACCACAGTGATATTCAGCAATGAGGTATGTAGCACTTTTACCATGATGGGGTTGCAAACTTTATTGTCAGACCATGTATGTGTCTGGAACCACTCGAGGATGTAGAAGAGGTTTCAGGATTAATAATTTTCATTGAAGACTTGATGATTATGAACTGAGATAAGATTGAACAAGGTCAGACCGAAATGCAAGGGAGAGTCAGTAAACAGGATACAAATGGAAGTAAAACAGCTGTAATGGACATAATAGGTTTTCTATATACACTCAACTCTCTATTATCCGGGATAATGGTGGGGATGGAAATCACGATTAATCGAAAACCCGGTTAAGACAAATTTTATTAAAAGTAGTACTGTAATACTGTACCTTCATAATACTATAGGCCTACCTGTATTTAAATTTGTTCAACCTCATTTTTATGTCAACTCATGGCCTATTTAATACTTTTTTTACATTACACTGAAGTGAAGTATGAATTTGTTATTTCAATCACAGTGTTCAACAACATCCGACACTTTTTACGAATATTCACACTTAACGCTTAAAAAATTTAATATTGTCGTTTGCTTTTTCGTGGCATTTTCCTTTTTAAGGATATCCATACGAAGCCTACGTAATATTAGCTTGTCACTTAAACTGTTCTCTTCACTCTCAAGATATTGTAGTAAGGATTCCAAATGATTAAGAGCAGCACCATGTGATATTTTCTTACTAGCAGCACTGTCCACCTCTTCCTCATTCTCACTTTCTTCCCGCTCTTCTGGCTGCATCCCCATTGAACTTACGATTTCATCACTGCTTAACATTTCAAAGCCTGGCTCACACGAGTTTCTGTTGAATACTTAACACAACACGCTTCCTTTTACACCCTGACATTTTGCTAACATACTTGAAAAGCGATACAAAGAGACTAACTTGGGTGATGTATCTGTCCTTGAAACTTTCCACAAATCCTTGCATTCTTTCACCCCTACCCTAGAACATTGTGTTAGCATAAGGGACCAAAAAATGCAGGGCTTGGTTCACACTAGTGCAAAAATAGTGTTACAACTCACCATGTGAAAGAAAAGTGAATGAATATTAAACAACATATACGCCTCAAAAAAGCCCCGGTAGCCCCGGTTAAGCTGCAAACCGGTTTATCCGCCCCCGGATAATCAAGAGTTGAATGTATATCACTACAGTCCATTCGCGGAGACGAGACAGTTAGCGTAAACAAAGCAAGCCCCGCGTCGCCACAGCTGACAGCAAGGAGTGGATAAAGCGCACAGTTACTTCAGTGTACTCACTGCATTCGGACGCACGTTAACCTGCATTCAGACTGAAGAGTGAACTTTGGATGCCCCTGCAAGGGTACATGCATCACGTGATAACTGCATGATTTCATTCAAAGAGGGAAGGAGGTACCGCGTGCATTTGTTTACGAGGACTCTCTCATCTCCGCGAATGGACTATAGGTAGTAGTACAGTCCAGCTCCATGGCAGAGTAGGTAGCAGATGCACATGTACATGCACATGTTCAGAGGCTGGTTTCAGTAGTCAAAGTAGCAACTGTGCTTGTGGTGTATACTACCGAAGAGCAGCGTTCTGTCATGCATATTCTGTGGGCAAAAGGACTAAGTGTAAAGGATATTTATAAAGAAATGTTTCCTGTTTATGATGGGAATTTTTTTTCGACTAAAGAGGTTCACATCTGGATGGTAAACATTTTGCTGATGAAATAGAGGTTGAAATGGAAATGTGGAAGTGGCTGAGACAACAGTCAAAAAGAATTTTACGAAGGGGGACCCAAAAATAACTGGAAACGACCTGTTGCATGCACATGCGTTGTAGTTACGAGTTGTGCTGCTAAGTGGTATTAGCTGGGGGTCTCCCGCGACTGTTAGTAAGCTGGCGTCAGTCTGAGTTAAGTGGTTTGTCTGTGGTGTTCTGTTGTGTGTGTTCCTGTTTCAACCCTTTGGCGATTAGTCAGATGGCCGACCAGAAGGAACAAAGAGTGTGCGTGAAATTGATGAAGATCGTCGAAAGACCATTGACCAACTTTCTGAGGAAACGAACATCTCATGGAGCACAGTCCAGCGAATTTTAACCGAAGGTTTGCACATGAAACGGGTGTCTGCAAAATTTGTTCCTCGCTTGCTCGGAGATGACCAAAGAGAAAACCGCGTGAATGTTTGCCGCGACTTGAAGAGTGAAGTGCAGTTTTCCCTAACAGAAAGCAAAATTTCACGCACACTCTTTGTTCCTTCTGGTCGGCCATCTCACTAATCGCCAAAGGGTTGAAACAGGAACGCACACAACAGAGCACCACAGACAAACCAGTTAACTCAGACTGACGCCAGCTCACTAACAGTCGCGGGAGACCCCCAGCTAACACCACCTAGCAGCACAACTCGTAACTACAAAGCATGCACGCGCAACAGGGCGTTTCCAGTTATTTTTGGGTCCCCCTTCGTATGCTGCGGGTTTCAATGCATTGGTGTAGCGATGGGACAAATCTTTAAATGGATATGATTTTGAGACAGTCTACATACACAACAGTGAGGTTAGAAAGTAAACAAGGCAGATACTCCCATGCCAACATCTGCTCAGTTTTGTTGTTAATGACTTCGCTACGTGTTTCGACCCTTACCTGGGTAATCCTCACACATGCATGAATACTTGGTGTCTGTTTCTGAGTTGTGGCATTTATTCAGTATGAATTCATATTGTATCTACATTGTCCTGATAATACACTTATTTAATTAAAATAATTATAACTCGACATGAAAATAATATTGAATAGGTAACAGATTGGAACATGTAAGACTGAAATTGTCGTTAAAATTCCTGGGTAATATGACTAAAAATGCACTTTGTTATTTGAAATAGTTGTAACTTGACATAAGAATATTGAACAAGTGGCAAATTAAAACATGTAAAATTGAAATTGCTGTTAAAATTCCTACTCAATATAACTCATAATTGTCAGTATTATGCATCTAAGTTCTTGTAACCACTATATATCTTAATGCATAATGATACTTTACGTTATAATGTGTCACAGTATTAATATTGTGACGTGGGGAACTGCGGCTTGAGATCTTTCGTGGCTTTCTAGGTCATGTTGCGTTTAGGAAGTTTCTTATTAAACATGTGAAGGCAGATCTTGTTGTTCCACATATCCTTCTCATGTTCTATGTATATGGCTGAAATGTTAAAGTTTTTGATGTGGTGTATAGATGCAGTTCCTGTGGTGTGACCCATTTACTAACTCTGCCTTATATATTGAGGTTTTATAACACTGTATTTTAGCCTGGTATGTGGATACCAATGCTTCAGGGATTCACTGCAACTAAGGATGGAGGCAGTAAGCTCTTCCAGAATGTTTATACCCACCTGCCAGCTGCATCAGATTCCAGATGACCACAGTATGAGTGTGCCATGAAACCCTGAGATCCTACATACATCAGACAGGAGTGATCATCTTCCCTCTGTTTAGTGCCAATTCCTTTTTGACAAAGGAACTAGAATCTTGGTGGGTAACTGGCTAACTGAACTGTTTCCACAGTTGTCTCCAGTTCATGTAAGCAGGTACTGGAATATCTTCGAATAGATAATGGCCCCCTTCTTTTCATATTCTTCCCCAACATCATATACTTTCTCATTTGACAAACCACTGTTAAATAAAGGAAGGGCCATCATACTTTTTCTGACAGTAAGCAGTGGTATGCAATACTGGCACATTTCTTTTAAAAACATTATTAAAAATAAATTAATAGTGTTTTGGAGAAAGAAAGATACATTCAGTGCTTCTGGTATGGAATGTAAAATGCAGTATATAGCTTGTCATCCCTCACACACATACTGCCACTTTAGTTCCCAGAAAAATGCAAAGGAGCAGTTGTACTACCTATGAGTGTTTCTGAGGCCCGTAAGCTGTAGCCTTTCATTGTATGTACACATTTCTCTTCTGTCACAGGCTGTTCCCGATTATCATAAAATAGTAACCCGTCCAATGGATCTTCAGAGCATCAGAGAGAATCTCAGGCAGAAGAAATACCAAAGCCGGGAAGAATTTCTTTCAGATGTTAATCAGATAGTTGAAAACTCCACCTTGTACAATGGTAAGAAGGTTGGTGCATATACGTGGGTTACTTCAAAAGTCATGGCAACCAATTTTTCCGAAATTTTGAAAGCTCCGACCGGAATTTCAAAATTTGCCGCTGAGAGACAGCAACGTCTGATTTCTAATGATGCCGCTAGATGATAGTGTCATCACCCAGCAACAAAATAACTGATGGAAGGAGTGTTTTCTGTGTAGTCTCTGCTGAGGCTATATAATGAGGATCAGCTTACATTATGACATAGTCTTGAGACAGCAGTTAGGAAAGTAGGATGTTGGTGTGGTATGGCTGCCAGCCAGCAAAGGTGTGAGCCCAAGAACAGAGAAACATCCATTGTTGGAAGACATTACCCAGCATCATAGTGAAAATCATGATGGAGAACACTGGTCTTTGTGTGATAGTGATTTGTAAAGTGTAGTCACAAGTTGTTTTAAGAATCTAGTAAATCCAATTACCAATCCAAACCCTATCAATAGTCACTTAGAACACATGAGAATACAGTATTATGAAACAGCATGCCAGAATTTGAATCATCTTTCTTTGCAGGTGCTAAGAGCTCATTGACAGTGGCTGCCCAGAGAATGTGGACACTATGTGTGGAGAGGCTGGCAGACAAGGAGGAGCGTCTGATGAGGCTCGAGAAGGCCATCAACCCGTTGCTAGATGATAATGATCAGGTGGCCCTCTCTTTCATACTTGACAATGTTGTCAATAACAAATTGAAGGGAATGTCAGAATCATGGCCGTTTGTGAAACCAGTGAACAAGAAGTTAGTCAAGGACTACTACAATGTTGTCAAGTATCCCATGGATCTGGAAACCATTGCCAAGAAAGTTTCCTGTGAGTGCATACATATTTCTCTCTTATGATTCACAAGTGTTGTGGAAGAAAAAAATTTTTTCTTGTAGTCAGTGACCAAGGTTTATGCCCCGCACTAAATGTCAAACTCTGCGCTTCATTGAAGATGTGGGACTGTTAGGGAGCTAACTAAAAGTGGATGCACGAGGGTGAGTCAAATGAAAACCATAATTTTTTTTTAAATTTAATTTACTGAATGAAAGCAGTACACAACTATATCATTTTCCTACATAGTCTCCATTTTGTTCAATACAGGCACTCCAGCTTTTACAAAGCATATGGATTCCTCTAGAAAAAAAATTCTTGTGGTTGTCTGCACAACCACTTATGTACCATCTGCTGTACCTCTTCATCAGAACGGAACTTATTTCCTCTCATCGCCTCTTTGAGTGGCCCAAACATGCTGTAATCACTTGGGGCTAGGTCTGGTGAGTATGGCGGATGTGGAAGACACTCAAAGTGCAAGTCTTGGATTGTTGCAACTGTTGCACGGGCAGTATGGGGCCAAGCACTGACATGTAGCATAAGGACACCTCTAGTCAAAAGTCCACGTCACTTTGATCTGACTGCAGGTCGAAGATGATTTGTCAAGAGATCTCAATATGAGGCACTGGTGATAGTGTTCCCCCAAGGCGTGTAGTGCTCCAAGAGTAAGCCTCATTTGTCCTGAAAGAGAGTCAGCATAATCTTCCCTGCAGATGGCTGTGTTTGGAACTTGTTGGGTTTTGGTGATGAGGAATGACGCCATTCCTTGCTTGTTCTCTTTGTTTCCGGTTGGTGGTAGTGCACCAAAATTTCATCCGGTAATGATTCTTGAAAGGAAGCCATCGCCTTCTGCTTCAAGGTGCCGCAGAAGTTCTTCACAGGCGTCAACATGTCGTTTCAATTCTGGAGTCAGCTGCCATGGTACCCACCTTGCAGACACTTTGTGAAACTGGAGCACATCATGAATGATGTGGTGTGCTGATCCATAACTTGTGTTAAGAATTTCAGCTATTTCATCCACTGACACTCGGCGATTCTCCATCACTAGGGCTTCAACTGCTACAACAGACTCAGGGGTCACAACTCTGTGAGCCACCTGACCCAGGAGAGGAGTGTCTGCCACAGACGTCACACCATTTCTGAATTTCCTACTCCACTCGTGCACTTGCTGCTGTGACAAGTATGCATCACCATACTGAACCTTCATCTGTTGATGAACTTCAGTTGGTTTCACACCTTCACTGATCTAAAAACGAATTACAGAACGTTGCTCTTCTTTTGTGCATGTACATAGTGGAGCAGCCATCTTCAAACTGGCACTGTGATGGCATTCTGTTTTGTCTGCATTATACTGCCACCTACAGGATAATCTTTATATCACTGGTAACATGTCTACCAACTTATAGGGTAATGGTATGATATTTTGAATTTTTATCTCAGTTTTACAGTTTTCATTTGACTCACCTGTGTACAATAGACCATAGATGGTCACAGTGTAACGGCTGGTTTGGCCCACTACTTATTCATTTAAATGTGGCTAAAATTATCTTGTAGTTTAGTAACACACGATTTTGAACCTGTGTGGGTTACAGGTTCAGTTCTGATATCTTCAAGCATAATTTCCATTTTGTAGCAGTTAATGGATGAAGACTGCAATGTTTTCTTTCCTCCCACAGTTTTCCCTTTTTGCCATCATTTGAACGTAGTCCTTTATTGTTTGCAGAGACTGTATGCATAAGTATGTCAGGATATTGCACCATATTTATTGGACTGTGAACTCTTTCAGCACACAAGTATCACAACCGCTATGAGTTTCTGGCAGACATTGAACGTATACTGGAGAACTGTATTCTGTATAATGGAAAGGACTCTACTTACACACAAAAGGCTGAGAAAATGGTGAACGTCTGCCGCACAACATTAGAAGAGGTACATTTCCAAAAGTTCTTGTGTAGATCAGGAATCTGTTTTATGTGTGTATTACATTCATGCTGGATTTGAGGTTCTTGCAGCAGTGACTATGAAGGGTTCTTCCCTCTGAAATATAACATCACATAGTCTGGTAAAAATCAATAGATATTTTGGAGCAATATATCTCTCCAATCTTGATGGTCGAACAGTAAGTGAAGCAATAAACCACCATGAAGCAGGTAGCAATCAGAGTCAAGAGAGAACTCAATATTTATAGTTCATTTAACAACACTGTCAATAGCGAGAGTTTAAGGTGTCGAGTGATGGGATGATTAATGCGTAACAAATTGTAAACGATGTAAGAAGTGGCTGTGGCTTAATTTGGGGTACCGTTTGTGTGGATGGGCTAAGAGAAATTACAAAAAATTGCTGTCAGGATAGCTGGTGTGCAGGTAGAGATTTTTACCTGGGTCCTCATGGATAGGAAGCAGGAGTGCTGCCAGGGACTATGCTACCATTGGACTGTAGCATTCAGTTACCAGAACTGTGCTGCCACTGGACTGTGGCTTTCAGTTACCAGAATTGTGCTGTGCTGCCACTGGACTGTGGCATTCAGTTACCAGAACTGTGCTGCCATTAGACTGTGGGGTTCATTTACCAGAATTGTGCTGTGCTGCCACTGGACTGTAGCATTCAGTTACCAGAACTGTGCTGCCACTGGACTGTAGCATTCAGTTATCAGAACTGTGCTGCTACAGGACTGTGGTATTTAGTTACCAGAACTATGCTGCCACTAGACTGTGGCATTCAGTTACCAGAACTGTGCTGCAACTGGATTATGGCATCCAGTTACCAGAACTGTGCTGCCAGGCATTGGCATTCCATTACCAGAATTCTGCTGCCATGGACTGTGGCATTCGGTCTCCAGAACTGTGTCCCAATACAGCATTTGCACCATCTGCCTGGGCTGGTGCCCATAATGGACATTAAGTGGCAGAATTTTAAGATACATGGGCAATGTTTGGGCATTGTTTAAATGAAGCAAAAATGTGGAATGCTAAAAGTAGTGGTCATATCTGTAACAGTCAAACAGATACAGTTGAATGATACCATAACTCTATAAAACTTTATCTGCCTATCTTTTCTCATCTTGTTATTTGCTTTATGTAAACGCTTAAATAAACTTTTTTTACTTGTTAATGACCACTGCCTCTGTGGTCTAGTGGTCAGAGTTCCTGGCTACAGATCCAGAGGTCCCGGGTTCGATTCTCAGCGCTGCTGGATTTTCTGAGAAGTAGTGGGTCTGGAATGGGGTTCACTCAGCCTCATGAGGATAATTGAGGAGCTGCTTGAATGGAAAAATAGTGGCCATGGGAATTCATTGCATTGACCACGTGACACCCTCTATCCGCTAAAGTTGGCACTAACTTTGCCAACAAGCAGCGGTCCCTTGGTCGGTATAGTTCACTTGCAAACAAAGCCATGGAGTTTGTTTTATCTTGTTAATGCTCATCAGAATGAAAGAAAACAATTTCATAGATAGGATTTAACTGGTAAAATATTTTATGCTGTGTAGAGCCTTATTGAGAAGCTAACCATTTCCCATCTTTTATTGAACCTCAGGGTTCACTACTATGTACATCAGAACCCACTACTGGCCCATATTCTGAGCCAGATGAATCCAGTCCACATCCTCCCATCATACTTATTTAATATCTATTTTAATATCATCCTCATCTATGCCTAAGTTTCCAAGTGGTCTCTTTTCTTCAGTCCTGGCCATTGGTCATCCAAATAATATTTGGTATAATGTTTTCTTTTACTTTGTGACCTACTGGTGAATTCTCATTATATTTGTTATGTATTACTAAACATTTCTGTAATACCAGCAGGGTTCTGCATGTCACAGTTTGAGAACAATACTGCTAGTGCAATCAATATCTGCAGGTACACTGCATTTTATAAGACAGCAGGCTACATCTTTGTTACTGAAAGAAAATTAATTAATAATGAAAAAAGTACAAATTGCACCAATAACAGATTTCAAGTAGTAGTTCTGATAAGATCCTAAAATGTATCATAAAGTTTATTCCATTTTGTTTATTTATGGTTTGTTTAAGAATGCTGTCAGTAGCTGAATTATATAACTGTCATCAATAGGAAAATTTGTGAATCATGAATTGTATTTATATTGAAGAAAGTGTTTTGTCACCTAATTAGAGGTACTATCCTTACGCTTGCCTGGGGGGATTGAGAAAAATACAGAATACCTTAGTCACGATAACTGATCTTCAGACAGATTTGAATCTGAGACCTCCTGAATCAGCAGAGGTACCACCCATTTGACAACAGTGTCCTGCAAGATAAATCCAGAATTAGATAAATAGAAAGGTTTTTAATAACTAAGAACATATTCTGAAGAGTTCTGTATCTTGGATATGATGCCATTAAATCAATTTACATTTTGCTTGCTGCCTGCTTCATGCTGGTTTCATGCTTGGCTTATTATTTAACTGTGAAGATGAAGGTGACACTTTCCTCTGAAATATCAGATGTTATATCCAAGAAGGTAAAACTATTCACAACCACTGGAGTGAGAACCTCAAATCCTAGAAGAACAAATTATGTTGAATACCAAAAATAGTCCAAGGAGAACCATTACTGGGACGTATGCTGATATAGAGTCATGTGAATATTTGTACTACATGAATTGCTAACCTTTTCTGCACTCATTATGACATGCACTGATTGTTGAATTGGTAATACTGGGCACTCTTTCAGTATGGAGACCACCTGACACAGCTGGAGAGGAGTATCTCGCTTGTACAGGAACGTGCTCTCGAACAAGCCGAGATTGATTCCATTGGAACTTGGCTCGGAGGTGAAGAAGAGAATTATACCATTGTGGAGACAGACCATCTTCGAGAGGGGGTAAGTGAACCATTACACAACTGATAATCATATGTATGCATGTATAGGTCACACGTGTTTATAATAGTTGATCTGATACATTGAATTTTCTGTAAGAATATCTGTTATGGATCTGCAAAAAGAAATCTGAGTGATGTATATGTACACAAATTATTCCCTGAATATGGGACATAACAAAAGCTGTTGAGATGAAATGATGAATTTTCAAACCTAGACATCACTCCTTTTCATGGGTGTGTGTTTGTTAGGAGCAAGACTAGAAACAGAATGCAGCCTTTGCTAAAGCAAGCGGTCTGGATGGGGCTCACATTATGTGTGTCAGACAAACAGTGCACTCATGTGACCTCTTTGTGAAATATAAAGACTGAAGTAGGAACATTATGAATGACTTCTCATGTGCCGCCTCTTACAGAGCCAGGCCAGTTCACCGGACAATATGTATGGCAAGTCCCACCTCGATGACTTTGACTTCGTGGATGTAGAGGGAGACATGGAGGCAGAGATGGCACAGAGAACGTCTAGGCAGAGGAAGAAAGATGTCTTGGCTGAAGGTTAGTTGCAGTTATACAGTTAGCATTACTCAGCAAACCGACTTGTCTATGAAGAGTAGAAAAATCTTTGAATTTATTCGCTAACATTCCACTTGCTCTTTTTTTAGCCTGTTTTCCTTATTTTAAAAACATAAAAGTAGGTTCATGAGATCACCTTGCTGTCTGTATGTGTATCCCTCACCATGAACTTTTGAATGCCTTAACCAATTTTTATGAGTCTTGGTATGTATGAGGGGCAGTCAAATGAAAAAAGGTCAGAAGCCAAAACATGTTAAAGAACATTTCTTACCTCAAAAGTAATCCCCAAAACTGTGAAAACATATATCCCACTGGAGATAAGATGGTCAATCCCATCCTTGAAAAAGCTTGTGGGCTGTCTACGGAACCACATCTTTACCCAGCCACACACGTCTTCGTCCGATGCAAACCGATGTCCACGAATGTCTGTCTTCAGGTCTCCAAAAATGTGAAGCTCACATGGGGAGAGATCTGGGCTGTAAGGGGGGATGTTGAAGCACTTCCAAACCAAATCTCTGTAGCGTATCCCTCACAGAGTTGGCAGTGTGGGGGCGCGCATTATCATGAAGAAGGATAATGCCGTTCGATAGCATTCCAGGGCGTTTTGACTTTATGGCACGTCTCAGTTTCTGCAAAGTGTCTTCATAGCGCTGTGCACTGATTGTGGCCCCATGCTCGAGAAATTCGACAAGCAGAGGGCCCTTGCAGTTGCAGAAGAACATCATCACTTTACTGTACCTTGTGTGTATGGCTTTGGATTTCTTCAGTGGGGGAGAATTCACATGTTTCCACTGTTGGCTCTGCCGTTTGCTCTCAGGTTCAAAATGGTGGCATCAAGTTTCGTCCCCAGTGGCAATATGGGACAGAAAAGCATGCTCTTCCTCGTGGTATTGTTGCAAGTGACCCAGTGATGCAGCCATTCTCTGAGTCTTCTGATCCTCCGTTGAGTTGATGTGGAACCCACTATGTGCAGATTTTGCGGTACAGTAGGTGTTTTGTCACAATGGCATGTATGGAACTGTGACTTATTCCCATCAAGAGACTAATTTCTTCTACGATGATCCATCGGTTTGCCCAGATATGACCATCCCACGCAGTAATAACATCAGGAGTTATGACATGATGAGCCTGTCCTGGGTGAGCATCATCTTGCAGTGACACACGTCCCTCTCGGAATCTCTTATGCCATGCCAGCACATGCGAATGTGACATGCTGTGTTCGCCGTAAACAACGGACATACATTTCAGACAGACATCTCACATAAATGGAAGACTAGAGACTGATGGTGTTTGAGAACAAGGGGCTGAAGAGAATATTTGGACCTAAGATGGAGAAAATGATAGGAGGATGGAAAAAATTTCATAATGAGGAGCTTCAGAATTTGTATTGCTTGCCAATTATTATTAGAATGATCAAATGATGACATGGACATGGCATGTAACATACATGGGAGAACACAAATGCATACACAGTTTTGGTAGGAAAACCTAACCATAGATGAGAGGATAATATTAAAGTGATCTTTAAGAAATTGGGTGGTAGGGTGCAGACTGGATTCATCCAGTTCAAGACAGGGACCAGTGATGGACTCTTATGAACACAGTAATAAACAAAATGCTGAAATTTTGACTAGCGGAGCAACCGTTAGGTTCCTCAGAAGGACTTGGCATATGGAGTTATTTAGTTAGTGGGTAGACGTGGTTTCTCTTATGGAGAAATGTCTGGCAAATAGAATTTCTGTTTGACTGGTAAACTGAGCCGATATTTGCCAGCCCCTGCCGACGACCATGAGATATCTGAAAGGTGTAATTGTTTCCTTTGACTTCACAGATTTGCAGTTCTCCAGTGAGGAGGAAGGGGATGACATAGCACTATCTGAAGGTGACCCTGATGCCTTGCCCGATGATGACAGTCAGCAGGCAGCTGAGGCTATGGTTCAGTTGGGAAACATTGGCTATTACCCTCCAGCATCAAGCGTCACAAATGAACAAGGTATCCACAGGCATATTGGCTGATACACCAGTTTCTAAAAGCACTCAAAAGAATATTCATATTTGTAAATCATAACATGTCACTGAAACATTGGATTAGAGAATGAGGTGGCTGTTCTAGTGGTACCAGGCTCTTATTCAGGAAGTACTTGGATGGCTTGAGGTTTTCCGTGGCTTTCCTCACTCCTCACGCAAATGCTGAGATAATACCTCAATTAGGCCATGACTGGTTGCTTCCAAATCCTATACAGTTCATAAACCTATCATCTTAACATTCAGCGCCATATAGTCTAGCTACTGACTCATACTCTTTTGTGGGCGCTACAGTCCATGAGGAATCTTGACCTCTGTTACAATTGCTCTCCATTGGTCCTGATTCTATGACTTTCATCTTCATTTCATTTTCATCTGAATCCAACCAGCGTATTTGTCGAGTACCCTCTAGTTTATATTGAGTTAACTTCCTGCTACTGACAGCACCATCAAATAATTCACAAAGAAAATATAAGATTAACATCGAAGTTGCTGCATGAAGCAAGATTTCTCACGTGCCACATATAAATGTGATACATTGAAAGTTCATTAGCAGGTAAAATGAGTTTGAAAAGGTAGACACCAGGTTGACCATACAAGGAGTTGAAAATATGACTTAACCTTAGATGTACTACTTGCTTATATTCAACGCCAAGCACCCACCCTAGGATATGATTCTGAGATCCATCCATCCGTCATCCTACAACCCTATCTTCTCTCAAGCAGCTGATTTCCATGAAGTGTCTCCATAGAACCTTCGCAGAAGTTTGACAGAACATTTTTATGTGAAGGGTTGTTTGCCCTCTGTTCATTTCCTAAACAGCAACTTCCCTCCATCCACAACCTGAAGATGGACGGAATGGGTTCCAGATATGGAGAGAAGGGGCAATTAATTATATTCAACAGCCAACAGGTGGCAATGCATGGCAAGAGATGTATAAGCAGTAGTGAAGTGTATTTCCAAGTCTGTCCTACCCAAATGTTGCCACCCACTACTTAAAGCAGGGTTGCTTCTTTTCTCTGCCATAAATGTTCTTTAGTTCATGATACTGTCAGTATCTGAGCGTGTGTACCATCAAATGACAGGTAAAGGATAAAGTTGTCACTGTGCTTAACTAATTAAGCACTATGGCATGAAGACATATGGGGGAGTGGATGTGTAGATCCACGTTTTCTTGACCTTGGCACTAGTTAGTGGTGAGTGGTCAGCATCATGCCCCTGCCACTTCACCCCGATACCCATTGGATAGGAGGCTTGGTGGGCCCCAGAGCCAGTCTGGATGACATGGAGAAGAGAAGATGCTTGACCCTACTGGGACTCAAACTCTGACCCTCAGTTGTCTAGCCCGTAGCCAGTTGCTATACCAACTGCACTATCCAAACTCCTATCAAATTGTTGGATGAATGTTAAATAATGTATTGGGAAAGATCTGGAAATAAACAGTCACGGCATAATCAAGGTACTATCCTTGAATTTGCTTGGAGAGGGCCGATGAAAACCATGAAACGCCTCAGTCAGAATAGCCATTGTCCTGGCCAAGATTTGAACTGAGTACCTCCAAAATACAAGTCTAATGCAATACCACTAGACCAACCCACTTTGAAGGCATGTCTCACTTATGGATCAGGAACCAGCTGGTGGGATGTCTTGTTACTGTCAAAGTAATGCATAAGCAGTGGCATACTGATGTTCAAATTATCAGGCACCACGAAATGGACAGGGCTTCACTGTGTGGCTTTTATACAGCAGAACAGTACCTGACAGGCCCACCAGTTGTTAGAAACTAAGATTTTAAGTTGGCAGGAAATTTAACTCGGGTATCCAATTGTGTTTGTTACTTACACAACAGAGGAAAGTATGGATGTGGATCCGAACTATGATCCATCGGACTTCCTGCTCCATCATGGGCTTCCTCAGCAATGTGCCGCACAACTGTCGGGACAGGTGTCTGTTCACGACAAAATACACGATGACCTTGAAGTGAGCGAGTCTGATGATGAGATGAGTGCAGCTGCTGCAAGCGTGAATGAGTCCACAAAGCGAGAGGCAGATGAGGATGATGATGGTGGAGACCTCTGGTTCTGAGGCTGTCTTACTCTTTGTTATTTTTTATTTTATCTTTGTCTTGTACATAACAGATTTATGATTATTATATTTGGAATAAATAGTAGTATAATAAACATACTAGCAATTAATCACAATTAATTCAAAGGGGAGCTTGAATTTAAAGTACATCAGGTTACACAGAAGGTAATTCTGCTGCAAAATGACATTCCAAGCAGGCAGGGCAGGACCAAGTACTTGCTGCTACAAGCTACAAGTCATGTGGGCAGATACAGCAATGAGTGTTCAATGCTATCTTGCTTATCTTGACACACCTTTTCACTTAATCCGGTTTCCTTTCTTAAAAACTATGATTGTACTTAAATACATATTACAAATTAATGAAACATAAGCTATCACAATTAGGAACAGTAATACAGCATCCTAATTAGGACTTTGAAAACTTTGCCTTTAACTTCACATGTATTATCCTACTTTCCTAAAATAGGCTTATGCAATCTCCATCCTGTGTGTCTGTGTAACCGCCATATCGACTTCTGAATGCCTGAGCCCATCTCAAGATCATGCTTCATAACTCCTCCTACTATCGCTGGAATGTAACAGCTCAGTTAAGTGTATCCCTCCATTCAACTCCACATACACATTCCCAGAATGAACTGTTGGAGGCATCGTTTTCTATGCAGTCTGTGTCATATCAAAGGAAAGTATGTGAACAGTTCTTCTCAGAACTTCTTAAATAAAAAAATTATGCCAAAGTATTGAAAAATCACACTGGATGTTAATGAATTAAAATAACTAAGAATTAACAGCTTTACAAATGATATTGTAACGTGTTTGCAATCCAGAAGAGTCATTTCTATGGAAACGCTAGAACAGACCGTTGCATAGGAAGTAACAATAGTAACAATCCCTTCCTGATTTCATGTTGAATGGATGAGCTGGACATTCAAAGGAAAGTGCAACTCAACTGTGAGACCACTTCTGTAAGGAAAATAATTTTCTGTATATGATTCTTTTTTTTCACGCCTTTCTCAAACACTGTATTTTGTATATTCCAGGAAACGGGGGCGGGGCAAGAACACTTGGGCTGTGACTTGTCCACAACAAATTTACACAAACACTGACCTAACCAAGATTTTATTTAGCCTATCCTATGGTTCCATTTTCCATCAGGTACTGTAATTGAGCTTAGCAATACGCTGATCAGTTCTCCATGACACGACACAGATTGATATAAGTGATTCATTTAAATCCTGAGTAATTTAATATTTGAAAAATCCTGTGTGCCATAGCTACGTCACCACTCCAGTTCCTCTTCCGCAAGTGCATGGCTCAAGTGACCCAATGTCTTTCTAAAGGTTTCACTTTGTTTATTTTCATGATCATGTCCAGTCTTCCTATTGCCTGTCCTACCCTGAACAAATATAATTTGACCTTACTGTCGTTTGGGATAACACACCATGTAGTTTAATAAATACTTCCGTTTCTGAGTTACCTGTTGCTCCATGTTCAGGATAATAAGAGGTTCCACAGAAACACACAATCATCTACCAAACTGCACGGAGTCACATACCAGATGACAGTAGTCCCTTTACGAGAATATTAAATTACACAGCCCTAGTAGACTTCAACCCTAATACACAATGGACACATACTCTTTCCTGCTGCAGCAAACCTAAGCCTATAATGCTGTTAGAGATTCGATAATTATTCAGCTGCAGAGGCTGTGCTGATATACAGAAGGCAGATGAGGAAACACCTGCCTTATTTCAACATAGTATTCTGATACTGCCTGAAATGACTTGAGGAAACACAAAAACCCTCAGCCATGTCATAACCTGACTGAAATCAATCAGATACTTGTAGACATACATGACTGATGCAAAAACTTGCTTAGTATGTTACCTGTCTAATCTCAGTTGTAATTTGACAGGAAATTTACCAGACTAAAATAACAAGTAATATCTCCTTACCTAGCCTGCTTTTAGCTTAGAAGCTTTACCAGATATGCAGTTTACTTATATTTTTAATAAATAAATAACAAATCATATGCAAGTGAGAACATACTTTATTAATATTAAATAAAAACAAACTGTTAAATATAATATATAGAATAATAAATTTAAATTTAGTACTACAATATAAAATTACAAAAACAAGTGGAATAACTGAGAACTAAACAGATGGCAGTATACAGCACCAGAATTGAGCTGTTCTCCTGAAACAGAAATTGAAAATTAGTATAAAAATTTGTTATAAATTATAAATTTCTTAAAAAATGTGACTGAATAAAAAAAATCTTGAGAACATACTTTAGTAATATTAAATAAAAACAAACTGTTAAATATAATATACAGAATAATAAATTTAATTTTAATACTGTCACGTATTGGGTGTATAACGCGACAAATAACTTCACACCTTATCTGATATAGCAAATTTTATTTCACACTCGCTCATACAATCACACAGTTTACAATTTCACAACTACTGCCATCTGCAGTATTACAATTACTTGGCCTGCAATTACCTCTGGAGCCATGTATGTGAATGTACCACACACTGCGTGTGCTCTATGCTTCTCGTGTGGAAAGAACATCCTGCTGAGACTGAAGTCTGAAAGGATTGCATGTCTGTCGAAGTCCAGTAAAATGTTCTCCAGCTTAACATCACGATGGATGATACCCATCTTGTGAAGGTATTCCAATGCCAGAATTGTCTCACCGATGTAAAATTTAATATCAGTCTCTGCTAATTTTCTGCTGTTGTAATGGGTAAATAGGTCCCCTCTACATACGTAATCTAGAGCAAGGTATAATTTAGAGTCACTTTGGAAAGCGTAATGGAGGGTGGTAAGGAAAGGATGATGACGCACCGCCTCCAACACACGACGCTCTGCCATAACGTATTTTGATGAGGTATTTTTAATAATTGCAGCTTTTTTTAACACCTTCATAGCATAAAATTGGGCGTCATCCACACCGCCCTTCTTCTGAACCTGGAACACGGTTCCAAACCTGCCGATTCCCAGAATTCGGAGAAAGTTGAAGCGTGATGAGTCTACTCCAACTGTCCAGGTCAGACTCCAGATTGTTACTTTGTTGGCATTCTCCAGACCATCTTCTGTTTCGTTGTATTCATGAACATTCAGAACACTGTACAGAACTCTGGCTGAGTGAGGCTTGCAAGTGTTATGCCAGGATACTTCCACAGACGTATTTGGTTTTGAAAGTCACCATGGTGCTCACCTGCAACATATACAGTGGATCCATTTTATTAAGAAGCTTTCCAAGGCACCAAGCAGGAAAACATTTTAAAAAGGTAGGCTTTAAAATGTTTACAGAATTCGTTACATCCTTTGCAGAGAACTAACAGAACAGACATATTTTTAAACTAAATAAATACACGGACTTTAATATATACCCTACATGTTCCTACTGTATTGGTTATAAAGTCCAAGAGTCTCTTCCGAAATGCCATTCTTTCTTGAAGATCGAATCTAGTGTCATTTGTTTTACTTGACTTTCAAACAAATTTGAGGTAAAAGTTTCCAGTTCCTTGAGGCTTCTAATGACTGAATCTGGCACTTGAAATTGCAGATGCCTTCAATACTGTCAACTGTGACAGTGGTTTTTCCATGGCTTACGTGTCTTGTCTTAACAACTTGTGCTGTCTGTGTGAGGCCTGATTATATACTTTATTGGACCAAGGACGTATGATGTGTAGTCATCATGAATTAGCAATGTGTGACATGGGGAGGTGATTGGATCCATGAAGTGAAAATAAATGTAAATGTAAACTCACGAAAGCATAGTCTACATTCTCTAACACTGTCAAACTGTAATGGGGATTTGCTTTGTGTAGCATAAAACAATAACTTTGAAGAAATTAATAAAAATAACAGTATCAACATACAAGAAATAATTGTTGATGGTGATTCCAGTGATAATCCACAGGTTATTGCTAGTGTCTTTAATGAATACTTCCTTTCAGTTGCTGAAAAAAAAACTCTCCCACAAGACAACAACAATAATGGTATTAGTGATATCAAGGATAAACATAGTAGGACCATTAATAGTGATCCATCACACTATGTGACTCCTTTCTCAACATACAAGGGGGGACCCAAAAATAACCGGAAACGACCTGTTGTGCGCGCATGCTTTGTAGTTACGAGTTGTTCTACTAGGTGGTGTTAGCTGGGGGTCTCCCGCGACTGTTAGTGAGCTGGCGTCAGTCTGAGTTAAGTGGTTTGTCTGTGGTGCTCTGTTGTGTGCGTTCCTGTTTCAACCCTTTGGTGATTAGTGAGATGGCCGACCAGAAGGAACAAAGAGTGTGCGTGATATTGATGAAGATCGTCGAAAGACCATTGACCAACTTTCTGAGGAAACGAACATCTCATGGAGCACGGTCCAACGAATTTTAACCCAAGGTTTGCACATGAGACGGGTGTCTGCAATATTTGTTCCTCGCTTGCTCGGAGATGACCAAAGAGAAAACCGCGTGAATGTTTGCCGCGACTTGAAGAGTGAAGTGCAGTTTTCCCTAACAGAAAGCAAAATTTCACGCACACTCTTTGTTCCTTCTGGTCGGCCATCTCACTAATCGCCAAAGGGTTGAAACAGGAACGCACACAACAGAGCACCACAGAGAAACCACTTAACTCATACTGACGCCAGCTCACTAACAGTCGCGGGAGACCCCCAGCTAACACCACCTAGCAGCACAACTCGTAACTACAAAGCATGCGCGCGCAACAGGTCGTTTCCGGTTATTTTTGGGTCCCCCTTCGTACATCTCAAATTTTCAAAACAAAGGAAACTGAAAGCATCATTAAACCCCTTAAACCTAAAAACACATGTGGATATGATGAAATATCCATCAAATTACTTAAAATCAGCTTTGCTTATATTACCCCACCTTTAATTCACATACATAATACATCCCTTTTATCAGGGACCTTTCCTCTATGCCTAAAATTACTCTATAGTAAAACCATTATGTAATAAAGTGGTAGGATGGATGTTTCCAGCTACAGACCAATATCCATACTAGCCTCTTTCTCAAAAATCCTTGAAAAAGTAATACATACATACATACATACATACAAAGTAAGTAATACATACATACATACATAGAGACATAATTTCACAGATTCATTGTCCGGAAACCGGACCGGATATTGAATTCATCAGCAAAATGCAATCTAGTCTCAACAATTAAAATATTCAAGAATTATAAAATGAAAAATACAATAATAAAATAAAAAGCAGTCATATAACAAATCTAGATAATACATAATCTTGGAAAGACAACATTAATGTATTATGCTTGCCTGTATGCCATGTATTCATCTACCGAATAAAATGCATTTAAAATATATAATGTACCACTTCAACATGTAATTAATAACAAGATACTAGCAAAACAATCTGAATTTATGAAAAATCTAACAACAGAAAAAGAGCCCTATGAACTAAGTAAGGAACTCATAGGTGCCCTTAATAAAAAGTAATTACTAGTAGGTGGGATCTTCTGTGATCTAGCTAAAGTGTTCAACTGTGTTAATCATGACACTTTACTGCTCAAATTAAATGAGTATGGAATAACTGGTGAGGCTAATAATGGGATTAAATCAAAAATATAAACTTTAATCATCAGATAGCTTTGAAATGGGGTAAAAATAAGTCACAGCATCCCATAAGAATCTGTACTAGGTCCTTTGTTCTTTCTTCTCTATATAAATGAATTAACAAACTTTGTTAAGAATAAATCTAAGTCGATTTTGTTTGCTGACAATACCAGTATAATACTTACCAACTCTAACCCCACAGATTATATAAGTGACATAAACAATTTTTAAAGCACATAACACAAAATTCCTTGGATTACATATAAACAGCACACTGTCTTGAAAACTGAGCAGTTACTACACATGGTAAATACAGCTTGTTATGCACTCAGGTCTATTAAACAGGGCATATCTCTGGAAGTAATGAAAATGGTTTACTATGCCTACTATCACTCCACTATGTCATATGAAATAATATCTAGGGGAAACCGTACAGACAACACTAAAATCTTCAAAATGCAAAAGAGGGCAATTAGACTTATTGCAGGAAGCAAGAATATATATTCTTGTAGATTCAATTATAAACTTAAAAATATTACTGTTTCACTCACAATACATACTTTCACTCCTATTATTTGTGGTAGGCAACAAAAGCATGTACAATTTAAATTCTGATGTCCATAATATAAAGACGAGGCAAAAACTCAACTTCCAACAGCATTCAGCAAATCTATCCCTATATCAAAATGAAGTTCACTCCTTTGGCTTCAAAGTGTTCAGTAACCTCCATCAAAGTCTCAAAAAAGCAACTAGTAAAATTATGCAATATAAAACTGCATTGAAACGTTACTTACTTACTCATTCTGTCTACTACATAGATGAGTATTTCAATGTAAACAAACAGTAACCAGTATGAACTCTAAGGTAAAGTGTATTCCCAAGCATGTTACGGTATCATTTTGTTTATTTGCAGACTGTGCTGTACGTATTCAATGAGCATGGTAATATTATAATCTGATTAACTTTTAAAGCAAAACTATTACTGTACAGATATTATGTATTTGTATTTGACTTGTTCAGTATCCAACGGTGTCAACCTGTACTTAGATTTGCGGAACGTAAATAAATTAAAATTCAAACGTTTGCACAGCAGAGAAGTAATACTCAAGAGCGAATTGGCAATCATTGAGGTTATGTCTCAGTTGTAACCCATTTTATAACTTGGTTTAATATTGCACATTTACTTCCAATATTGCCAGTTCTCTCGTCTTCTTCTGGTATATATTTTGGGCCCTTATTACTACCAAAATTACTTACTTCTGTAACATACACATTCGTTCTTGCCATTTACTAATTTCGAGCTTGAAGCAAAACAACTCTTGACTATAGAGCAAGTTTGACAGTCATGTTCGGAATGAAAACAGCAGCATTTTCACAATTCTGTAGGACAGATACCTGTGGTTTCTAACCCACCATACAGCATGTTTGGAAAAGCCAGACGAAGAACCAATATATATGTGTATGTTTGCTTGCAATCTTACACACACATTTAGCCTCGAGGATATAACATTAAATACGCCGAAAGTTGCATGACCTTCGAAAAGTTTGCTGGTATACGTACTGGGTAAAGAAAGCTCCTCGTAAAACAATCATGTGATGATTACAGGGTCCACATTGTGAACGCACAAATGATAACAAAGAAACTGGGCACTGTTGATCCTGTTGATATTCCATCAAATCTCCATAGGCATTACCACCAGTAAAGGTACAATAGGACATATGGAGGATATGGAGGATTTAAGACCACAGAAACTGTTTTCAAGACTAATTATACTGTCATATTATTATCTCTGTATTACTATATTATCATTATTATTATCATCATCATTTATTATAATTTGGCATACTATTACTGTATTATTATATTCTTATTACTATTTAGTATTAGTATTAATATTAATCTTTGACTTGTCCCATATCATGTATAATGATTCATGGATGAAATAAAATTGAATTGAATAGCGTAACGAGCGTTTCGTGGCCATGTAACAGGCCACGTAACAGGCACGTCACAGGCCACGTCACAGGCTACGTCACAGGCGTTACGTAGCCACATAACAGGGAGGTGTTCTCCGCTATAAAAACCGCAGCGTTGCCTTGAAGACGGTCATTCTGCTGTTCAGTACCGTGTGTGAGGTTGCTTTGAGAAGAGTTTGATCAAAGAGTGCGGCTTTAAAAACTTTGCCTACAAATTTCAACTCGAATCGGACATGGGTGTTACCTCGAAGAATACCATCGCTGGTTTCTTTACCAAAATATTTGGTCGCCGTAAGGCAAATAAGGTAAGTAAATATTTTTTTTCACACATTTATTATACTCGTACATACTCGTAATCTGCAGAATTTGCAATAAATGAATATGTTCAATAAGGACTGGCTCGGAATGAGTTATACCCCGTGGCATAATTCATACACTTGGTTTTATTTTTTGTTCACTTCGGTATCATTTTAATTCTTGTATTGGGGTGTTATGCCGTGGTGACAGGTGGCGTGGAGGTATTCCACCGCTGCCACCATATGTTATGGCGCGAAGGGGGGCATGGAGGATTCGTTCCACCTCTTCCGCCATCCATGCCGTTGCGCCCTTGTGGAATGGCCAATTGTAAGGCTAAGCACTTGGTACTTGTCTCATTAGCTACCTCTTGGCTGTGAGTTCACAGTATCTCTAACAGGAGATCTATGGGAGATCGGGGACATAGAGGGTGTGACTGTGGGGTAAGTCATTAATACACATATCCCCCTTACTAAGTCTACATTTGTCTACTGATATATACACATATCACTTTCGTAGCCGACAGTTGTTGGTTACGTACACATTGTAATTTAAAGAAAAATACACTTGGGTTCACCATCCCTAGCTCTCGAGGTAATTCCTACATCCCCACTCAGGGCCTACTCTCTCTGCCCTAATCCTGTAACATGACACTTTAATAATATCCACTGTATATCCATGACTGATATGAACAGTTCGACTTACTTGGTGTAGGAAGCTGATGGTGTCCCCTCACTTGGTCTGGCATGACCATGTCTCTGGCTGGCTACTCCATTAACATTTGTGCGTTCAGATAGATTGGTTGATATAGATTGATCAAAAGATTCAATGATAGACTATTGGTTCAATGTTGTGGATTCCGAAAGATAGCTCCTCAAGTTGTGTTAGCTACTTTATAACTTTTCCTCTGCTGACTAATGTCCTTGGGGTAAGTTCCGCCCCTTAAGAGAGCGAATTCTCCCCCAAAGGTCCGTCTCTTGTTGGTCATCTCGGTGAAGAGGGTTGGATCTGCTCAGGCCATCTCGCTGAGTCGGCACTCTGTACGCCTTGGCCGTACAGCCGCTTGCCGTCTCTTCCACGTGAATAAGCAGTCTAAGCAGTCTTACTGACATTACCCTTTGTCTAACTTCTCTACTGTGAACCCAAGATAACTTAATACCTAAAAGTTACAAAAACCCTTGTTGAAATTCTATGGCATTACATGAGGTTTTACTCATGTCTGTCTGGAAGATTTAGGATGGTGTATCTTTTCAGTGTATGTGTAGTTTTGCTATTGTCTAGTAGGTTCATTGCACCTGTATTACTGTCCTTTTCTAATTGTCTTTAAGTATTTGATATTCAACTATTTTATTTCATTGAGTACTTTGTTCATTCGCAGAGCTTCTTGGATTCTGTGGACCGTTACGTCCCAGGGTGCGTCAAAAATGGTTCCAAGAGTCTTGGGATTAAAGGGCTTGATGACTTCAACGTTGGAGAAATAAATAAGGTAAAGTTGTCCTTATGCTTAACTAATTAAGCATTATGCCATGAAGGCATATGTGGGAATGGGAAAGTAAATAGTGGGATGAAATAATTATTTCATGGGGATTTGTTTTAGTCTTCTTTACTTACATTTTTGGCTCGCTAATTTAATTTCTTATATCTGGTTTATTTTTATATTATTAAGATTATAAATTAATTAACGAGTTACAGTCATTCTAGGACCATGTGAAGAAATGCATCTGGATATTGTTGGGAAGTGTCTATAATGTTTGCCAAATTTTAATAAAAAGTGGAATGTGTTGACAAAATTCAGCAAAACTCCCTAATATCGCATTTGATGAAAATCTGTTCAGCATCTCTCGAGCTGCTTCATGCGTGCAGTAACTAATGGTCATTCTGCAGGGTAGTGAACGTGCCTATAAACAAATCACAACCAAATTAAAACTGATGTCACTCAAACGTCGGTGAAATTTCCTGCTAGCTAGATGTAGTAGTTAACGTTCGTGACATGATCGCCCTGAATTAGGCAGTAACGTTTCCTCCACACCAACCACAGTGATTGTACCACCATGACACCATATCCAAGCCTCATTTGTTATACCAACATAAACCACATGCAAATGAGGTGGACTTTAAACTGGAGACTCTTTCCAAAGAAGCACTCTTTACCTTGCTAATCTGAAAACTACTGTTGAGATAATACTGCAGTTCATAACATAATGTGCTCTTTTGTCTGTTCAGAGGAACCAGTATGAAGATCTTAAGAGGGAGGTAAAATATATAAGGCAGACGACTGGACTACGAATCATGGTCTTGGAATCTGAAATGTCTAAACTGCAAGAAGAACTCGATAATATCGTTCGGCAGCGGGCTCTATTGTGGCAAGAAATGACACAATTGCAGGTGCACTTTGAGGTGAGTAAAGCTGACTTGTCACAGTACAATCATTCATTTCTTTCATTGCTTTCCTTAAGCAAATAAAGTAATTTTATGAGATGGCTATGCTGTCTGTAAGTTCCCCTATGAATATACTTATTTCATTCCCTCTGCCACAACACTATTCCCAGTAGGTGGAGTTAGGTATCTGGACCAACAGTATGTTTCAGAACGTGTGCCACCTTCAGGCCATCCTTTATTTACAAATATCTATCATGTACTTAGCGTAAATGTCCATGTATACTGAATGGATCCACTGGTGTGTTATACATTTTATATTATAAAGGATTGGGTTTTTATCTGTTGGTTAACACGGTAATTATTTTGCTGAAATTTAAAGTTTTATGTGACTGTAGAGCACTGAACACACATTATCAGTCCACTTCACATGTTTTCTAGTTCCACTGCTCTCCTTGAGATGGCCTGGCCTAAGTTTTTGTTGTCACTGCTATTCTATGGAGTAGGGGGAAGGGTAGTTGGTTTCATTCTTATTATTACAGTGTACACTTGTTTTCTTTAAGGCATGTGAAAGTTTCCTATGTTTATAGAATAGTTTTTATATTTTACATATTGTGTATATGTATAGACATGATCACAGTGGCCGTGTGTTCTAAGACATGAAGAGACACTTTGTTGTACACTTATCATATTTTGATCAACTTCTGAGTTACAGCCCTCTTCCACAACATCACAGGATATTTTGTGCACTTGTTACCACTCATACGAAAACCAACTGCACTGCACTGCACTGCACTGCATATGACTTGATAAAATCGCACAGCCTTCACTTGTGCACCTGATAAAATATATTGGTTATACAAGGCTGTGGTTGTTTGTCTTGGCCAGGAGTTCCAAATTTTTAGGACCACAAACCATTAACTTCATGCACATTTATCGAAGAGGAGCCAAATCTTAAACAAAATACTTTAAAAATGTTGAGTGGCTCGAGAGGGAAATTAACTGAATGACTTTTAAATATTAAAATGATCTGGGGTGATGTAGACTGAGATGTTTTTGCTTTGCTACCCCTATTTTCGCCTGGTATGATTGGTAATATTTCCTGATGCTTTTAACAATGTTAAAATCTTGTGCCTAAAATGTACGATAACATCAGTTGCTAGTCGGTCTCTTGAAAACATCAACTTCCAGTTCCATGTTAGAATATTGATTTAAACACGATCCATGTTCAAAAGTGCAATCATAGGGACCTAATTCACTGCCTTCTCTGAGTCCATCTGGTTTTAACTATTAATCATTTTGTTTGCAGATGAAGCCTGCAAGTTCAGAACCCGAGCCTATGCCACGAGAGTTTGGGTCCACTTTCCATTAAGGTGAGTCAGCTAGTTGATCATCTGTATGGTTCAACACTGACGAATTCTCCTCGTTATGTAGCTTCGCACTGACATCACAGAAAACAGTTACGTGATAGCTACCACTATTGTGTGACATCGTGTTTACCAATTGCCTAGCAATAGTCTCTGCACAGATTCCCCTGTTGCAAGATGTCACAGCCTAGTGAGGAGGGTTGTTTACTGAGCGTTGCATAGTTACGGGATGAGTGGGGCATGTGACATCACTCGCACTTCCTGTTGTGCAATCCAAGTGTTCACATAGTTGTCGCCTAGCAACGTGCCAGTACAATCCACAATTCTCATGTTGCGAGCATGCTCCAAGGCCTCTGTGGCTCAACAGTTCCTGCATAGAGCCAATACGCCACAGTATGTATTCCTCACCGAGGTTTCGACACAAAAAATGTCACAAAAGAATACACTCCTCAATGTCTTGTTTCACGACAACACCTTTAAGTTTTATTACATGAGATCAATTTGTACAAACAAATGTAATGTCAGTTAAGTTTCCATATTCTAATTAATAATGTATTTTGTATTTAATTATAGTTGAATAAATGATAGAAATGTATATTTTATATTCATGATTACTTATTAAGAACATATAATAAGTATCCAAAGCAATTACAGTTACAGCATGGCATCAATCTACAGTAATGAAGTCATTGTCTATAGCAGGGGTCTCCAAACTTTTCGAAACGTGGGCCACATTAAATAATTCAGCACTTTCAATGGGCCAGATAAAATGAGAAATTAATAACTCTAGGTATATGAGTTTTATTGAAAGCACAGAATTTCATAAACTAAATACGAAGTACATGAGAATAAATTATCGTATATTAATGACAACAGACAGTAGCAGCAAATGCTCATATTTTCATCACAAATTATAATAAAACAATTAATGTGAATGATGGAACTCTTTTTGCATTCTGTGGGAACATCCCACATATTATCACAGCACCAGCACGCGCGCTAACCAGTCAAATTCAGAGTCACAGTCACGTTGCAACTGACGGTCAGTCAGTCTGTCTGTCTTGGTGTCGAGCCCCAGCTGGGGCTCATGACCAGATATTTCTTTTGAATGAAAGTTACTGTCTTGTCTACGTGTAGCGCCCTCTCTGACGAGAGGTCGGGTCTGTCATTTGTCAGTCAGTCTGTATTAATAAGTCCACTGTGTGTATTTACATATATTTACATATACACACTTATTNTTGTTTTCTTTAAGGCATGTGAAAGTTTCCTATGTTTATAGAATAGTTTTTATATTTTACATATTGTGTATATTTATAGACATGATCACAGTGGCCGTGTGTTCTAAGACATGAAGAGACACTTTGTTGTACACTTATCATATTTTGATCAACTTCTGAGTTACAGCCCTCTTCCACAACATCACAGGATATTTTGTGCACTTGTTACCACTCATACGAAAACCAACTGCACTGCACTGCACTGCACTGCATATGACTTGATAAAATCGCACAGCCTTCACTTGTGCACCTGATAAAATATATTGGTTATACAAGGCTGTGGTTGTTTGTCTTGGCCAGGAGTTCCAAATTTTTAGGACCACAAACCATTAACTTCATGCACATTTATCGAAGAGGAGCCAAATCTTAAACAAAATACTTTAAAAATGTTGAGTGGCTCGAGAGGGAAATTAACTGAATGACTTTTAAATATTAAAATGATCTGGGGTGATGTAGACTGAGATGTTTTTGCTTTGCTACCCCTATTTTCGCCTGGTATGATTGGTAATATTTCCTGATGCTTTTAACAATGTTAAAATCTTGTGCCTAAAATGTACGATAACATCAGTTGCTAGTCGGTCTCTTGAAAACATCAACTTCCAGTTCCATGTTAGAATATTGATTTAAACACGATCCATGTTCAAAAGTGCAATCATAGGGACCTAATTCACTGCCTTCTCTGAGTCCATCTGGTTTTAACTATTAATCATTTTGTTTGCAGATGAAGCCTGCAAGTTCAGAACCCGAGCCTATGCCACGAGAGTTTGGGTCCACTTTCCATTAAGGTGAGTCAGCTAGTTGATCATCTGTATGGTTCAACACTGACGAATTCTCCTCGTTATGTAGCTTCGCACTGACATCACAGAAAACAGTTACGTGATAGCTACCACTATTGTGTGACATCGTGTTTACCAATTGCCTAGCAATAGTCTCTGCACAGATTCCCCTGTTGCAAGATGTCACAGCCTAGTGAGGAGGGTTGTTTACTGAGCGTTGCATAGTTACGGGATGAGTGGGGCATGTGACATCACTCGCACTTCCTGTTGCGCAATCCAAATGTTCACATAGTTGTCGCCTAGCAACGTGCCAGTACAATCCACAATTCTCATGTTGCGAGCATGCTCCAAGGCCTCTGTGGCTCAACAGTTCCTGCATAGAGCCAATACGCCACAGTATGTATTCCTCACCGAGGTTTCGACACAAAAAATGTCACAAAAGAATACACTCCTCAATGTCTTGTTTCACGACAACACCTTTAAGTTTTATTACATGAGATCAATTTGTACAAACAAATGTAATGTCAGTTAAGTTTCCATATTCTAATTAATAATGTATTTTGTATTTAATTATAGTTGAATAAATGATAGAAATGTATATTTTATATTCATGATTACTTATTAAGAACATATAATAAGTATCCAAAGCAATTACAGTTACAGCATGGCATCAATCTACAGTAATGAAGTCATTGTCTATAGCAGGGGTCTCCAAACTTTTCGAAACGTGGGCCACATTAAATAATTCAGCACTTTCAATGGGCCAGATAAAATGAGAAATTAATAACTCTAGGTATATGAGTTTTATTGAAAGCACAGAATTTCATAAACTAAATACGAAGTACATGAGAATAAATTATCGTATATTAATGACAACAGACAGTAGCAGCAAATGCTCATATTTTCATCACAAATTATAATAAAACAATTAATGTGAATGATGGAACTCTTTTTGCATTCTGTGGGAACATCCCACATATTATCACAGCACCAGCACGCGCGCTAACCAGTCAAATTCAGAGTCACAGTCACGTTGCAACTGACGGTCAGTCAGTCTGTCTGTCTTGGTGTCGAGCCCCAGCTGGGGCTCATGACCAGATATTTCTTTTGAATGAAAGTTACTGTCTTGTCTACGTGTAGCGCCCTCTCTGACGAGAGGTCGGGTCTGTCATTTGTCAGTCAGTCTGTATTAATAAGTCCACTGTCTGTATTTACATATATTTACATATACACACTTATTTCTTATTTCAATGTACAATATATACAAGGCCTCTGTTAGTCCAGGCTAAGTACAGCAGATTATGCCCTTTTTTTATATATATCTTTTTCCTAGTATTATTAGCTACGACGGCAGTCTAGTCACTTGAACAGTCGTATGTCTGACCACCGCCAAGTTTAAGCCTCTTATACTTTCTGTGGCGGGCTTTGCCTTGTCCGATGTTGCGAACATTCTCATTCTCATGATTTTGTATGACTTCTGCTTGTTGCCTGCATAATTTTGTTATAAAGTCATATACGTATGGGATTTTGAATGTCATGTGCAAATCACAGACCGGTGTGTGCCTTGGAAAATTGCCAATCGTGTGGAGAACCTTGTTTTGCAGGTGCTGCAATTTCACTAGATGGGTGTCTGCCGCAAACTCCCAGGCGGGACTAGCATAAGTCATTACGGATCTAATAGGAGCTTTATGGAAGGTTAGTTTAATGTTAGCGCTCAATCGCTCATTTTTGAATAGGGAATATACTCTAATGAATGTTCTGAAGGCCTTGGCTTCGATCATTTCTATGTGTAATCTCCAAGTCACACTCTTATCGAAGATGACACCTACATATTTTGCACTATCTCCAAATGGAATATTTCTTCCATTTAGAGTAAGACAAGAATCAGGCGGTCGACGACCACGAGAGAAGTAGACCCCCCGAGTCTTATCTTCATTAATTTTTATATTCCAGCGCTCACACCAGGTCTCCATTGAGCTGAGACCGTGCTGGAGTTTTCTAACAATAAAACCCTCCTTGCGATCTGTCCCATATAGACAGGTGTCATCCACAAAGAGGGCCAGGTGAACACCATGTGTTTGGGGGGCATCATTTATATGCAATTTGTAAAGCATAGGGGAAAGGACAGAACCTTGTGGCACCCCTGCTTGCATTTCCCTTGGCATTGACATTGCGCCTTCAATTGAGACTCTGAATTTACGTTTAGAAAGAAAGGACCCAATAAGTTTGGTCAAACTCTTCGAGAATTCCAATTTTGATAACTTATACAGCAATCCTGAGTGCCACGTGGTATCAAAGGCTTTTTCGATGTCCAAGAACACCGCTGCCGTAGACATTTTATTGTTGAAATTAAGGATCACGTGGTCTGCCAGCCTCATACATTGCAATGTCGTGCTGTGACGTGCACGAAAACCAAACTGGCTTGCGTTGAGCAGGCCCCTTTCTTCAATATGTTTCTGGAGGAAAAGCAAAAGTGCTTTTTCGAATAATTTTCCTGTCGTGGACAGGACGCTGATCGGACGTAAATTTTGAGGGAATTTTGGCTCTTTACCGGGTTTGGGTAAAGTTATTACTTTTGATTCCTTCCAAATACTTGGAAAATGAGAAAGCCGAAAGCAACGATTAAATAGATGGGTTAGATGAACCAGTGGTCGCCTTGGAAGGTGCCTGTGGCATTCATTTGGGATGCCGTCAATTCCGCAGGCCCTTTTTAATTTCAGAGATTTTATTAATTTCTGTACGTCACATGGCCTAATCCTTTGAGGGGGGTTTTCGTCTACGGTTTCTAGCAGAGCTTGTACTCTAGCCTCCACCCGTCGTTCATGGTTATCGTCGCATAGATCATGCGGGGTGAACTGAATTTGCAAACAGTCGGCAATTTCGTTGGCTTTATCAGAAGGGTGAAATTTAAGGCCAGAAGAACCATGAATAGCAGTTGGCGCCCTTGGTCCGTCTCTCTTTAAGAGAGATTTTGCAATGGGCCATATACCCTGAGGTGTGACTTCAGCGTTACCTATTTTTGTTTCCCACGGTTCAAGTGACCTTTTTAGGGTCATTCGTCTGATTTAGTGACCAATTGACTGCCGCTTTACACGCTGGACCCCTGGTTTCTTGCCATAATTTTCGTAGCCTCTGCTTGTATTTTATCAAACGATCTAGACCAGGTAGATCGTTGTTTATATCCGAAAGTGTAATTTTACTTGTCGACAACCTATATGCCGAAGCAATAGAGGCTGCAAAGTCGCGTGCCACTTTATCGGCTTCTACCCCTGAATTAATTTCCAGTTTAGGTGATATTTACT